CTACTTATACCCACATCCAAAACCTGATTATTGTTTGATCTACATTCATTGTAATTTATTCTGAAGATTTGTTTGAATGAATACAGAAAACAATCATCAAGAAACATACAGTTAGCTCCATTTTACACATTTAATTGAACATCATGCTTTCGTCCACTGAATGCTAAAATGATGATGAAATAAAATAAAATAAAATAAAAACTATAAAAAACAAACTGCAGATAAAAAGAAAAGGCTTTTAGTTTTAGAATTGGATAGTCCTACTCCTTCATAATAAACTCTTATGGGAGGAAAATAAATTTGATAAAAATGAAACTCTATTAAAGCCGGTATTACTTTTTTTAGACTCAATGACTAGATTTTTCTTTTGTTATTCTGATTCAACATTTAAATAAACAGGCTGTTGAATTGTCAACTAAACAGTTATGCATCTATGTCCTTACCGTATTTATGAAATTATACAATGATTGCTATTTTTTGTTCATCCAATCATTATGGCATCCATCTTAATCGAAATAAATGTCTTGTTGTCCATTCTGTTGGTTTAATAATAATGCATTTGATAATAAATGATAAATTATATAAGTAAAGAGATCAGATATCTTATGAAGTCTAAAAAGATCATCATGCACACAGTCTTCTAGAAGTAGTTTCATGTACATTCCTTGCCATCATTTGAATAATATTTGCATATTCTGCTTCGCCTAAACTGTTTTCTTTTTCCTTTTTTATATGGGTTGATAAAGCTCCCCGAGATGGCTACTCGAGTATCGTTTTTATTTAAAGTCTACCATTGTCTATGGCTGAAACAACTCACAAGAAACTCGAGTGACTAAACATGTAACATAGGCAATTATAAACTTCCTTTTTTTTTTTTTTTACAGAAATCGTGAAATTTTAATTGCGTCATCTTTTCAAACTTTGTGAAAACATTTATTATTTTATGATGAACAAAAATGCTGTTTCTAAATTCCAATGCTAACAATTTTTAATTATATGAACATCTTCGTTTTTTTAGCACATGTGGAGACAACGGCTTTGTCTCTTGTTCGTCTTTTTTCTTGATTTCGCACTTTTCGTTACATACACTGGTTACATTGTTCGTTTCATATTTTTGCTTCTCTAACATAGTGTATCATTCTATGTGCGTAAAATAGTGCACATTTCGCTGACCTCTCTCATATATATTTTTTTTCTTTGTGTTTGAAATTTTTGTGCAAGTTAGAGATGTGCATTGCTCATGTGAACGGTCCGCATTTGTCTTTATTCGTCTATGTTCATTGGGCGTACGTGCCTTTATCATATTAGTTTGACAAACTCGTTCTTTTATAAGATACCGTTCGTTTTATTACTTTATTTTAATACTGATTTGTTAAATTTATAAAGCAAATCGTAAGCAATGTTGATTAAAAATTACCTTAATAGAAAATTGACCTAACCAAAAACTTAGTGAATTTTATTGTGACGAGCATAATATTGAAAGTCATCTTTAATTAAAGTTAATGCCTATTTAATTGTAACATGAGCTAAGATTGAAACAATTGTTGTTGATACGCAAATATTCAAAAATGAAACACTATTCCTAGGCACTACCTCCATATCGTTTTATAGGTACTCTGTACATCCGTGTTACAAATAAATACCAAATTTTCAGACATGACTAAATATTGTCAATAAATCTGTCACAATGAAAAGAAAATATTGATAGTTATGCATGATAAATGCATACAAACAAATATCAATCATAAACATTTTAGCTCTCTTTCCTTGTTGGTTGTACGAACTGTAATTGATAGAAGTATCTATCATGATCTTACAGGCAAGAAATAATGTCTTACCTTTTTCGATCATGCTACTTTAATCATTATGAACTTGCTTGCTGTGCAAAATTTGCGCTGAAATAGACATGTACTTTTTAAAAGTACATGGTATGTATCGCGAATATACTTTTTTTTTCAGTTATTTTTCATATTTGATTTTTATATAAAAAACATTGCTTTGCTTTTTTCTTTATTGATTTCAATCGTCTTACTAGCCTCCAATGAAAACAATTCAATCAATGTCTAATCCAACGAGAAGCCATGAAAATCTTTCTATCTTTTGCGTTGTTCATTTTTCACTGCTCCCGGAGAACTTGCATTTCCATTACAAACGATGAGAACTAAATGATTATACGAAAATTTAGATCAATTCATTCATTTAAAATATAAAATGCATTCGATCAAATTTCTAAGATGAATTTTAGCATGCAATAAATTAGTTGCTTCATATTACTTCATTTCTCCAATCTTATTATATTCTGTTGATCATTTTTTCACACTTGTTATTGTTATCATTATGCCGTTCTTTTTCATCAAGTCAGAAGTCATGAATGTTAACTATTAATATTTTTTAGATTGATGTAAATGAAACCATATAGATTTCTATTTAAAAAAAAACATCAATTGTTTGTTGATTCTTTTATGTTGACTTTTCATTTGTCAAATGCTAATCAAATGATCTGCAGATTGTTTTTTTTTAATTTTTTGATTCCTCTATTCCTTCTGCAACTGCGTCTCTAAATAGAGAAAGGGAGTTCATTGAAAGTTTCTATTATTCCTTCTCACTACTCATTTCAAGATGTATAAAAAGCTCTGTTCGAGCATTATTTATTACTTGTTTTTTTGACTTTCATATGGGTAAGAAACAATCTATTTCATGAATATTGAAATTTTTCGTATATAAAACTTCTTCTTGGGCTATAATTTATGTTTGACTATGACTTCGAGTTAGTCGAAGACTAATTACTTAGTTCGGTAGTTTTTATGTTCTAGATGAAACATGTGTTTCACACTTATTAAGTTAAGAAGCGAAGTTTTCATTTTTCTAAAATAGTTTCTTCATCACATACACGCTTCGTTTTACAAAGAGTTTTACAACATGCATTCTTGTTTTTCTTTTTTAAACATCTTTAATTAGATATTTTCAATTCCATATCGATAACTGATAGACGATACAACTTATGAGAAATTTAAGAACTTATAGAAACACTTTATTTCAGATTTTCATTCATAAAAATACTACAAAAAAGGATATCAATGATTATTTTTCTTCAATTTCTATTCATTTATTTAATTGGCATTCATGCAAGTCATTTCAATGGTGGTACTATCACTTGGGTGCCTATTGATCCTTATGCTAATTCATCTTCAGTTGTCATAACTATTACACAAAGTTATTCATGGAGTTATTCTTCTGTGTCCTGTACAACAAATGTTCCAGTCTCAAGTGGTTACAGCAATGCATATCTTACATGCATTGCGAATTGTTCAACTGATGGTGGCTATTCAAGTGCACCTATCGAAATTCTAACTGATTGTACTTCTTATAGTTCTACATTAGGCACAGTATCAAGTGAACGATCAGTCAATATTACACTTAATACTAGTGCATATTTTTATATAGCATATAGAGGAAGTGCTTGGAGAGATTTATATACTACTTCAACAAGTGGTCTTGATTGGTCTATTGTATCTTTAATTGATCTTCGTTTACGACCTGATGGTATAATTAATACTCCACCAGTAGCAAATATCCTTTCACCTCAATATGTTATTGTAAATACAACGACCCTCATTGATATACCTATATCAGATGTCAATACAGATGATGATGTACGTTGTCGATGGGCAGTCAATAAAGGCAATGCATCATTTAATGAATGTAGTGAGATATGTTATTCAAGTCGTTTACCAAATGATACAACTCTATCCAATTGTACTATTTCATTTACAGGACTAATACCAAATACCTGGTATCCTATTGCTGTACAGGTATTTACCATTCTGAATAATAGAATTATAAAATAATTTGATATTTTATAAAGGTGGAAGATTTTATCAATGAAACAAGTACGGAACCAATGAGTTCAGTACCAGTTCAGATTTTAATTTATGTTCAAGCAACACCATCATGTACAATATTGCCTACCATTGTTTCTATGACAGATTGTTTAGAAGTTCAAGTTGGTGTAACAACAAATTTTACTCTATATGTAACAAATTTATGCAATTCCAGTGCAACAATCACTGAAGTTATTATATCAAAAAAAATTTCTGGTATGACAGCTGGTAATGTGAAAAATTCGACAACCAATACATTATCATATATACAATTAACTTGGACACCACAATCTAGTCAAATTGGAACACAAGTAATGTGTGCATATGCATATAATAGGTAAAACTTTTATCGTTTTGCTATTCGTTGTTTATCATATATGTTACTTTTGTACTTATAAGTTTATTGGTACGTTCAACACAATATTGTGTAACATTCACAGTCACAACATCATCTCCAAGTTGTCCGACAACAACGTAAGTTTTAGTCTACTACTCAGAACTAATCTAGAGATTCGTTGTTTTCTTTGCAGAGTCGCTGGAGCTTCAACGACAACAGTACCAACAAATAATAATAACATGAACATTCCACTGATTGTTGGTTTATCATTGTTAGGATTATCACTAGCATTATGCTGTTGTTGTTGTTGGCTCTATCATTTTTTCTGGTATGTCAATCTTTCTAACAGCTGATTTAAAAATTATATTCATTAGAAACAAAATATCATTGAATTTTTTTCTTTTTGATAGGGGTGCTGCAGGAAGACGTCGTCGAGGAGGAAAACAACCAGAAGAAAGGATTCGACAACAAAAATATTCACAGATGCTACCATCTTTCATTACTCGAAATCTTTTATTCAAGAAATTGAACAACAATTATTTATTTCGCCAGCTGTCAAACAATCAAGTTAGTACAGGTAGTCTTCGTTTAAGTGCACCAACATCATTCTTAATCACATCCAAAAATCAAGTATCTTTTGCTACCAGTGAAAATGATAGAAACTATAATATAGATCAATCATTTGTCAATGAAAGTATTCGTCAAAATGCATCATACCATCATAACACAAGTGTTACTAAAGTTCCTCGAAACAAAGTATCAACAATTTCCAATACTACACAACTCAATGATAATCAAACAAAAGATAAACGTAATACTGTTAATACAACTATTAGTACAATTGGAAATATAACTATTGAAGATGCGAATGCATCAACATCTTATAATGAACCTATACATGTTGTTAAACTAAATGGACATGAAACATCATCCATTCGAAAATCTCAAATAATCAAAGTGAATTCTTCTGCAACTGAAAGCCGACGACGAAGTCGTTCGATCAATGTACGCATTGATAGTCAACCAATCATAGGGACACACTCATCAAAAACTAGTTCTGTTACTGTTGCTCGAGTGAGAAGTATCTCTCACAACAATAAACCAAGAAAAAGTAATGGAATTACTATGTTCCCTGACGATGATGGAAAACATACAAATAAGAAAATAAATGCTACTTCAGTTGCACATCAAAAGTCAAAAACTCGATCACATAAATCAAGACATCGAAAAATTAGTGTCCATGTCATGAATTAAATCTTTCATTTCTACTTGAACTTTATATATAACTCTTACATTAATTTTTTTATTTTAAGGATTATCTGTGTGCTTCTACGAATATATATATATATATACTAATTTGAGTAACTCACGTGAAAACATAGCCAGATGTTCTAGGGATTCTTTCCTTCATCACTTGGCCACAGGTAAACATAGATGAGACATGAAAAGAACCCATTTCCTCAAATCATTGTTCTCGAAATATCGAAGTTTGAAGAAAATTTCTTGATAGCAGTCAAAGTTGTAAGAAGAATCGTGTTTTAAAATTTCGATCAAAAGTTTCCTAACAAGAAGGTGCTGACTATACCCTGTTGCATGCAAAATTTCAGATATTTTGAACGATGTCTCTGTAAGATATGAATTTTTCAGTATATAGACACTTTTCTTGGATATTGTAGAAGGAATGAATATTTTAGAAAAATTCTTATCTTACAGATAGTGCATTCTCAAAAACCTGAAGTTCTGTTCAAAATCTAGTTTAGCTAATGGTTTTTTATATATCCAAAGTTGGATATAGAATTTTACTGGCAATCTTGAATCTTATCAAGAAAGTTTCTTAAAACTTCGATATCTCAACAACGATAATTTTAGAATATGACTTATTTTTTTAGATGTTTCATATCTTATCTATACCTACTTATAGCTAAATGATTGAGCCAAAACAACTTCAATGCATGGGTATATGCACTCATCTGTTTGTTATGAAAAGAGAGTGTGGGTATGGGGTGTAGGTGTGACCTTGGTTGTATGTAAATATAAATGGAAAGGAAAATAATATCCAGATCCACACCCACACCCTGTAGAAGATGATTGCTGTGTTCAGTCCTTTGTTTCTTCACTTTTGAATCACTTTACAAGACTCAATAACATTTAATAATCAGTAAAATATTAGACTGTATCTCCTGGTAATTTTGGAAAAATATGGACAAAGTATTAAATATATATTGTATTCTTACATTGCAATGCCTACCTTTGTATTGCATCAGTTTCAAAATGAATGGAACAAATGATGAAATCGATGATTCATCTGACACCTGTATTGCAACATCCGAAGAAAAGCATAATTTTTTTTGTGATCTGAGAAAACGAAAGCAATACTTGGATAGAGAATGAAGTATGAGTAAAAAAAAGAGTCGAATACACCGGCCGGGAGTTGAACCCGGATCACTCGCGTGTCACACGAGTATTCTACCGCTAAACTACCAGTGCTCGTTCTTGTCACTTAGAAAATCTTTCAAATTAAACAATTTGATTCAATGATCTCTGAAATAATCAAGCAGTATGTATGACAATCACTCGATTCATGTATTTTAACATCTAATTATCGCTGGAATGCTGTAATTTAAGAACGTATCGAAACAAATAATTATACTAGAGCTATCCATTTCAAAATATCGTAAGGTCGACAAATTTTTGAACAGTTTGATAGGAATTCTAGAAATTTTTGGTTTTCCAGATTCGGAAGAGGGTGTGGGTGTGGGTTTTGTTCTCTTCTGAACCCACACCCACACCCGGAATCGAAAAACAAATATTACCATTCCACTCAGCATCAGAGATGGGACCGGTTCGGTTTTTAACCGAACCGAACCGACTGACCGTAACCGAAATCGGTTCGATTCGAGATTTTTAAAAAATTCGGTCGGTTACGTTCGGTTCGGTTAGGGATTTTTTCGGTTACGATCGGTTCGGTTAGAAATTTTAAAAAAATCGGTCGGTTACGTTCGGTTCGGTTAGAAAGAATCGACATAATCTTTTGATTTGAGTTCGATGGACTTTTTGAGACATAAGAAGAAAAAAGTGTAATCGTACAACAATTAGCTGTTGTTCGTAACTCGTATTATCTCACATGTTTTTTAAATTTGTTGTGAGAGGTAAGAAAGTTATAATATAGTAAGAGGATTCAATAAATAATCTTTCTTCGTTACTTTCTCTAGATGTTGATTGCTCATAGTTGCTACTGTCCGATTTGTTGTTGCTAATTTATAAAGCACTAATACCCTAATTAACATAAGCTAAACTTCGCTTTCTCTAAACTCGGTTCGATTACGAAATTTTTGAAATTCGGTCGGTTACGGTCGGTTCGGTTAGAAATTTTTAAATATTCGGTCGGTTACATTCGGTTCGGTTAGAGATTTTTTCGGTTCCGGTCGGTTCGGTTAGAAATTTTAAAAAATTCGGTCGGTTACGTTCGGTTCCGTTAGAGATTTTTTCGGTTACGGTCGGTTCGGTTTGGCAAAAATGCCAACCGATCCCACCTCTGTTAATTATTCTATAATTAATCTTGTTTTCCTTGAATGTTTGAAATAAAGTCTAAATAAACCGATGTTGCTGAGAAATTTAATTACAATTTAAGTTTTGTTTCAAATCTAGGTATATTTTCTTTTATTAACAAGAATAGTCAAAGAGAAAAGAAATAAGTCTACTCTTCTTATCTCATCATTATTTACTTATATTTATATCATTCTTTTATGTTTCTTTTTCATATCTATTTCATTTTAAAGATATGTCATTAATACATGATATAATAATAATTGGTGGTGGTATTGTAGGATTAGGAGTTTTTCGTCAATTGACATTGAATGGTTATAAAGATGTTTTATTATTAGATAAATCTTCACAAATATTAACTGGTGCAAGTTCTGGTAATAGTGGAATATTACATACAGGATTTGATACAATACCAGAAACTTTAGAATCAAAATTAGTCAAACGTGGATATGAATTGTACCAATCGTTTGCTCAAGATATCAAATTACCAATTAAAAAGATTGGTGCTTATATTATTGCATGGAAATCAGATGAATTAGAAACATTAAAACAAATTCTTGATACTGCACATAAAGTAAATTATTTCATTATTTGTTTTATTAATTTTATCATTTAGATGGGCGCAATACACTTTTCTAGTAAAAACAAAGACGCTTTGATCAGACATGAAATAATTCTATTTCAAAATCGAAAAAAGAATAGACAGTCGATGAGTTTGCTCAGTGTTGTGAAAAACTATAAAGAAGCATTCAATTATTTGAAATTTGTTTGACTTATTTTCAAGCAAGTGAAGTTTTTGAAAAACAAAATTGATACATAAAAAATTTCAATTTGTTTATCACGAAAATTTAAGCTCTTAGATATCAAATTTTTCTAATTGCATATTCTTTATTTGCCAACATGTTTTTCTTTCTACTGATTTCAATGGAAAAACAAGATTCTCTTATATTTTACAATTTTCTTAAAATATTTTTATTCTCTTATAGAATGGTGTGACTGATATAGAAGAGATATCACCTACTACTTTATATGAACGTGAACCTCATTTACGTGCTAATGCTTTAAATGCTCTCTATATTCCAGGTGAATGTATAGTTGATCCACTTACATTACCTTTAATTTTATATATGCAAAGTAAACTATTAGGTGGATATGTACAAATGAATACAGAAATAATCAATGGTAAATATGATTTAGAAAAAAAATATTGGCTATTAAATGATGGACAATTTAAAAGTAGAATAGTTATTAACTGTGCTGGTTTATATGGTGATTATATTGAACAAATTCGTATCAATCAACAAGTTTCTTCAACATCAACATTTACTATTCAACCACGTATAGGACAGTTTTCAGTTTATTCATCATCTATATCTGAATTGCCTATAAAATCAATTATTTTACCATTACCAACAAAATTTACTAAAGGTATAATTATATATCCAAATTTATTTAATCAAATCATTATTGGACCAACAGCTGAAACACAACATGATCGATCTCAAGCACCAATTAAATCTGATATAAATAATATATTATATAATAAAATCAATGAATTGATACCAACATTTTCAAAATTAAATTATCAACATATTGGATCATATACAGGAATACGACCAGCTACAGAATATTCTGATTATCAAATACATTCATATAATGATTTACAATGGATATGTTGTGGTGGAATACGTTCAACAGGATTATCATCATCATTAGCAATAGGAGAATATATATGTAATAAATTAAATGAAATGATTAATATCAAACATGAAATTGTTTGTGAAGGATATTCATCGGAAAGATACTATCAATCATTAGAACAATTAAAATCAATGTTTAGTTTGACATTAAATGGATTACAACCGAATTTAATTGTAAATGAATCAAAAGTTTTACCAACAATAACAGGTGATATAAAATTAGGTGATAATATGAAATCATTAAATTTAAAAATAGATTGTGCTGGTGAAATTTTTGATATTTCACATTCGTTATTAAAATTAGCATGGATAACAAAACGCTTAGAATAAATCATTCTTTTTGTATCCTAAAAATGAACTTTTTATTAATTTAAAATAAAATTTTAGTGATTACTACAGTTCTTCAAAAAAATAAATTATATTTAGTAGTGATAATGTTTCGGCATAATCGACCACAGTCTAGATGCTACAAAAGAGAGTCTCAAAAGTTTGCACAGAAAAGTTTATGTCAATAACTCTTATGCAGATGAAATGATTGAATTACAATACAGAATGCGTTAAAGGAATCTAAATGATGAATGTTACTTATAAAATAAATTTTGTAAGACATTCACTGATGATTGATGAAACAAAAGCGCCGAGAAAGTTGTTACGTTTGTGTTGAGCATACTATCAATTGGTATTGTCGTATTGAACGATGGCAGAGAATAGAAGAAAAACAAAACACATGGAAGAAAATTGAACAAGAAAATAATCATAAAGGATAGAGCCAACAGTTCTTTTGATTCTGTAATAAACCTAAATCATTAATCACTTAGAGAAAATTATGTTTTGAGCCTCTCAAATAGCAACTTTATGGATGATATGACGAAAACTTAATTAAGATGATAAGCGAAGCTTTTGGCGCAATATATGTCAGTGTGGATGTATTCGTATAGATGACAAAAAACCACACTCACATCCTACACCCATACCCTATTTAGATAGTTCGAATAAAAGAAAAAAAAGACAGAGAGTGTGGTTGTGGGTATGGCTCTTATCTCTACTCATACCATACCCTAGGATTCGTTCATAGTGTGAATATTTTTTTTTATCTGCGTATGTAAGTATAGTGGATTAAATAAGGATTTAACAAGTCGAAGTCTTACCAAGATATTCCAATCGAATCTACATGTAATGTACGTAATAGACATTCTGACTCAATTCTTTTTTGAAATAATACGTCCATGTGATTTGTACCTACATTATATAATCATCTTTAGTTGCTTTCCTTTTATCCATAGAAGTTTGTTTTGGATCGTGTGAATTCATTTCTAGATTCGAATTTTCTTTTTTCTTCATAGATGAAAAACTATCGAAACAGAATATATAGAATGATTATCATGATCACGTGAAATAGGAGATTGCTGATGACCAACATTTGCTTTTGTTGAAAAACAGATCATAATACCATAAAGATGCGTCAACTTTTATTTGTATGTATATGACATAAATCATAAAAGTCATGATGTTAAATTACTCGACGGTTATTTATTATTTTATTTTTGTTTGACAATATAGATACACAAAAAAGCATTGAATGATTCTCATTCATCTTTTTAAAGCATCACTAATGTCAATAAAAAAAAAGAAGGTTCGTCGAACGGAGAATAGATATAAAGTGAATGTAATTGCAATCTATTTAATCTGCACACCAGACATTATGTTAGGCAGCTCCATGAGTTGATGGTTTGCCCTTTTTAATTTATAGGATAATATTTGAGAAGCCGTATGTATCTCATTCTGTTCTGTAACAGCATTTGCCATATTTCTGATAGGTACAACGCGAATATTCCAACGTCCGAAACATATTATGAATAATGAATGTACTAGATTAAATAGTTCAATTCGAAAAGTACCCGATGCTAATATATATAAATAGAATGCTGAAACAGGAAATAGAAACACACATAATTCAGCGGAAAAAAATGCAAATTTTTCAATAGCTAAACGATCAGGTGACTTATTTGGAACATTACTAGTTATAGCAGCGTAAAGTGTATAAATAAATTGAGGTGATTGAACAATACAATAAACAATGACTTGTATAAATAGCATGGCTAATGCATTTTGATCACGTGTACGCTGAAGATGTGTATTAGTACTTTGTTGAGTAGAAAGAATACTAGCATGTATCTGTTGTTCATGTATATCTCGTTTGGTTGCAAGATTACGTCGAATGAGTAAAGCACTTACAATCATAATTGTTGCAGGAAAGATACCCCCCGTAGTTAACAAATAGATACTGTGATAGAGTGCCGCTGCTCGATTATATACGATAGCACAAATACCAGCCGCTTCACGTATCTCATAGAATATTAATGTATGAATAGGTAAGACAAGCCAAACGCCAATAACAATAAGAATCACCCGACGTGCTACATGTACTTGTGCAAATCTTCGTACACGAACATTTCTTGAACTTAATGCATATCGATCGAGACAAGCCATAGTTATCATCCAACGTCCCATCATCATAGTTGACTGCAATATATAGAGACGTGCCTTACAAAATGCACGTATTGTTGTAATTGGATCTGGATGATTGAGTGAATAGAGATAAGTACCACAACTCAAAGCTATAGTTATGATCAATATTGTTGATGCGCCCAAAAAGTCTACAAAGAACAAATTTATAATGATCAGCAACACGAGTGATATTGTTTTTGACATTTTAATTCCGTAGAAAATGCGCTAATAGCTATTTGTTTTTAAATTTTCTATGAAAACCAAGTTCACGTAGATTTATTAACCTTTTTTCACATTTGTTCAGTGATTTCATATATTAAACAGTTTAAATCGAAAGTATAGTGGAACGAGAAAAACTTATATGAACAAGAAGCAAAGGTTTTATTGCTCTTTGTAAAAAAAAAATAGAAAAGCAATTAACTCACTTATACTATGTTGAGAAAACTAGCTTGAACACTTTTGAATTATAATCAACGCGAAAATATGTTTACATTTCTTTAGAAATAGAGTTGTAAGACATCGGGGACACTTCAAAAATGAGTGCTAGGTATGTTGAGTCAATAGATCTGTCAGTTAAAAAAACATTAATTCATAAATATTAGGTGGCTCTTATCATGCATGAATCATTCTGACATATTAATAATTACTCTACAGCGTGGCAGCTTGTCAAAAAAACTCTCTCGTTCTTTAAGATGCTACCTACGCTGAAATTTAGAATGTAGGCATTAGTTACTATTTTATTTTTATAAAACCTAATGCAGCTAGAGGTGATCAATGTCGGAACTAAACTCAAAGTTCAAAGATTGAAAATCTAATGTAAAATATCTGCGAATATCTAAAGACTGTTATTCTCTTGAGATTAATGCTCTACAAATACGGCTATTCAGTTAGGAAAATTTTCCAATGATTATGATTTATCCTATGATTGAAACATTTCTGTTGTTACCTCTTGTCTACTTCATTGTATTTAATCTTACTATTCCCATTATATGTAAGATACAAATCAGTTGAACCTTATTATTGAGATTGATCATCGTAGTATTACAAACTGAAATAATTGATCAAAAATGAGTTCAATGTTTGGATATTGAAAAGGCTCGATAGAAACAAAAACTCCTTAATAAGATCAACAAAACTTATAGTTATCAGTCAATTAAACACGTTTGCATTGGTTTATATCAAGCTCCGAAATCCACTTTTGCAATAGACAACATTTTACACACTGATTTCTGTTTGATAGGATTCATCTTTTTGGAGAACGATCGAGTTTTAATCAATTAAAAGTATTTTATAGATATATTCTGTCTGATAATAATTTACACTTACAATTACAGCATGATGTTACGCGAAATTGTCGTCGTGACAAGAGAATGACATTGAGTAAACAACCTGGTACACCGAATATGATCCATGCCGAGCAACCATAACGAATTAATTGTTGTTGAACAATGGCTAGTGTTGTAATTATCGTTGATGAAGCCATTGTTGTGCATGAAAAAGTTCTCTTAGTTTTTCTGCTCCTTTGTTTTTGACAAACTCAAGCTGTGTAAAAAAAATACTGTTTTGAATAATAAAAGAAACGAAAACATGTGAAAGTTGAGACACGGAAGTGTTGAAAAGAAGAGAGAAACACTTCATATAATACATTTCAAAATATAATTAATGCAAGTAATAATGGCGTGAATAACTCAAAAGCTCGGTGATCTACTCGTTTGGCAGATGTTTAAACAGTGAAATGGTTTTAAAATGGTTCAAAAAGTCATAAAAATAATGATGCAAAATTTTCATAACTAATAAATTCTACGCAAGGCACTAAAATAATTACTTTGAATAAAATGAGAATCGTGTCAAAAATAGAATGTTAATATCAGAAATAAAAACAGCCATTTTTAGACTATTTTAGTAACATTCTCCGTTGCCATATCTTCCTCAATGATTGTCCATTAGAATTATTTAAAACCTTCGTTGCCGTCTAAAATACCTTTTCTTATAACGATGTGAGTATGGGTGTATTTGAAGAGAAGATCCACAACCCACACCCTCAAACTTTCCTTTCTTTTCTCTTACACAGCACGATTGATTGGACTCAAACTATTTTTATGAACACTTCGATCAAGTTGCGGCACGTATTTTGGTAGATTTTACAAAACTAGCACCATTTGAAAAAAAACTTATTTTTAATGGTTTTTTTAATAGCGTCTCTAGTGTTTTGCTTCTTTTTTCAAAGAAAAAAAAATACACACACACTCAAATCTGTTGCCACTTGTCGTAGTAAAATTTCAGCCCAAAAAAAGCGTAATGTAAATGTTTGGAGACGAGCAAAATTTCAGATCCTTTTTGGCTCTTGGCTTCTCAAGGTCTCTGGAAAAAAAAAGCATTTCGGAAGTTTGCATTTTTCACCAACTTTGTTCAATTCATCGAGATCTATCTACCTTGAAAGTTTACAAAATTTTCGCCTCACTGTTCTCAAGAAACCTTGAAAAAAGGAGGGACTTGATTGCAGCAGAATTAAAGATTACATCTTATATTTATATTATGTATGACATATGCAAGAGTCACAGCGATCTACGTCTCGAAATCAGCATAATAGACAATATATAACTCAAGAAACAAATCAGGAATTTAGATAAAAGTTAGGACATTTAAAAACTGATGGTGATATTTCTGCCAAGGACCAAACCTGCATTAAAAATGAATGAAGTAAAGATTACTTGTTAAAATTACAACGTAAAAATGATTAAGGAAAAATCAACTATGTCATGGCATAATTTCTTGTTAAATATATACTTCCTATTCTGTTCTTTTCCCTTGCATTCTCTCTCTATGTTATTATTAAATATCTAAGAATTTTATTCGCATGATGGAAAACATACTGAATAACAACAAAAATTAATTAGAAATTTTATTAGCGCAGTCTGTTGAAAGCTTAAATGCGAAATTCATAAATCTCCTTTAGCTTCATTATAGTAATTAACACAAAATACACAATGAATGAAATCTCTAAAAGATGATAATTCTCTTTCAATAATGATGGATTGTCAACAAACTTTAATTCTTTTTTATTTCTACATGTTGAACAGAGGTTTTGTTTTCTTTTTTTTACATGCATTATTCTTTTCGTCTTCACTGTTGTTATTTGCTCGGTATTTTTCATTTTCATATTTCATTTTTCTTAATTTAAGATTTTTTTTATTAGTATAAGCATTAAATTAAATGGCACTTAAGGCTATTGTAAATATTTCCGGTTTCTTAAATTTGTAATAGGAAGGAGAAGTGTTGAAACTTGGACTTAAAATCTACACCCAATATCTTTTTTGAAAATATAGATGAATTCCCCACAATATCGATAGACAACGATGTCTTAATGTTGAATATGAACGGTTAGAAGAAAAAGAAATCCAGTTAATGTTAAGCTAGCTGATTTGGAAAATTAATTATTTGAAAGTAATCAAAATGGTGACAAATTACGAAAAAACAGAAAAAATGAATGATTGAAATAAATATAAATTGAACATAATCTTTTTGTTGTGAAAAATATTCTATAAATATTTCTATATAAGTTTTGAAGAAACACAGTACAATAAAAGAGCATGTCATAATCACGCAAATACTGTCGTATAGAGACCGACCATAAAATATCAGCATTAAATCAGAATTTTCAATTATGAGAGGATAATTATGACACTTGAAAACAGTTAGAAAAATAAAAATCAGGAAAACAGTATCGCCGTGAGACCTCCATATGGCATTGCTTAATAAATATCGAAACGTCAGTCATAGACTACATTAGTCTGTCAGAAAAAGAAAAAAAAAACATCTCTTGAACATGTCTGTCATTATACAGAACATCAATTTGAGTACTCAAACTTTCTAAATATTGTACTCATTTTATTTTGTAGTTTCTATTCAATAATTGAGTGGCGCAGGACAGAATTTCACTTTCACTTCAATAGTTTCAAACGTAGATAAAAGTCCAATTTGTTCTGTAATATATTTAATGCGTGGGTGTGGTTATCGATATGTTTGAGAGTGAAGTGAAGATCCATATCCACAGATTACTCAAAAACTCACGATGCATGTAACCACATCGTCTTTCAATGCTTTGATTTTCTGCGTTTTGTGAATTCTTCGATCTTCTCAAGTTTCTATATTGATGTCATATTCTATCTGTTTTTGCTTCTTTTTTATGTCATTATACTATCGCTTCTTGTTTTCATTTTATACTCTCTTCATATCATCATTTTTTTCTTTCTCTCTTCTTCTACTTGTTTATTTTTGAATGTGTATGGACCCACATGTTTGTCTGTGGAGAGCCATATTGCAGGCATATATGTTTTAGGCCTTCACTTATTCCATTATTATCAATATCTGTTTTATTCTGTTCACATTCTTTGGTTCTTTTTCTTTTTCTAAATCAGTACTCTTTTTGGATTATGTTGTTCAAGAAAAGGGTATCTTCTAATATGTAATGTGCGTGATTCTGCCATGTCAAATTCAGTACACTCTATATTAAAATTATTACTCATCTCTGTTAATACAAAAAGAACGTTACATGTTTTTTCTCTTCTTTCTCTATTTTATTAAAAAAAAATGTCAGTGGAAAAAGCCGACCTTGGTTAATATTCTTATAAGTCTTTATTGTTGCATGCCATCGAAAAAAATCAAAGATGAAGGCTTTAATAAAAATATTGCTAGTTTACTACTTAGTGAAAATGTTTGTATAAACGCTCTAACAGCCAATTTTTATGCAACTCTAAATGAAACTGATAAAATTAATATTGTTCGTCTTGAAAAAGGACTTCTTTTATTTATGTATGTTTATAAAATAGTGATTGGGAAGCTAGCAATTGAAATGACTTTTTAGAATCATCGTCTTTGTTTTTACATGATTAAAGATGGAAAATGTACTAAACTATTTGGTGAATGTTATCATGAACATCAATCAACATATCGACAAACAAATCTTTGTTCTTTTTGGTATATAGATAATTCATGTAAAAACATGCCTCGACGTTTGGAAATCTCTTAATTTTGAAGAACAATTAAGATATCGTCGTTTTATCAGTAGAGAAAATGAAGTGAATGTTTACAAATTTACTCAAAATATTGCTGGACATCATATTGATTCAGCAATCAAAGATTCAAATCATCAACAAGATCTATATAAAAATATCATTATCGTTAAGGTTCGTTTAGTACATATTCTAAGCTCTAAGCGAAAGAATTCAATGGAACATCTGAATTTCTTGAAACCACAACAATGAAGCAATTGATTCAAGTGGAACATCTTCTTGTTTAACTTGAAAAAGCCAATGATACTCCAGAAATATCCTTTGATCTTGCTTAGACTTTTAGTTTTTATTGGTACTGACGGACTGAAAATAAACAATGTATTTATCTTAATCAACTGTCATCTTGGAGTACATATCTAATTTGACTTCCAAAATGAGTTAGATTTCCAAAGACATGGCAGGAAATATTGTAGCACCAGAGTCAAAGCTAAAGTTTTCAACTCAATGATTATTTATAATTTCAAGTAACATTATTTTATATAACCATAGCTAAAAGTCAAAGCTGAAGCTCTTATCTCAATTATAATTTATAATTCCAATTAGCACTGTTTTATATAAGCATAACCAAAAACCAAAATTCAAGTTTTTATTGCAATAATAATTGAATGGATGGAAAAAGGCAGAAAGGAAAAATGTCGAAAGGGAAAAATATCGAAAATAAAAATGTTGAAAACAAAAAAATAACATGAATATGAACCAGTAAAGTTGAAGATGAGGGTGAGGGAGATTGATACTTCAATATACTCTCGTTTTCATCACTTACATTCATCTAAATTTCTATTATTGTTGTTTTCGATATTTTCATTTTCGACATTTTTCCCTTTCGATATTTTTTCCTTTCGATATTTTTCCTTTCTGTCTTTTTCCACCATACCTAATAATTCACAAGTGAATTAGGACTACTCTATTTCAGAACAGCCATATAGTTCAAGTGTTTATGCCAATTATAATTAGATATTTCGAATAGATGTAGGCTCTTTACTGTAAAAGATAGCTGCCATTTTGAACATTGAATATAAA